ATATCCTATACGCATCTGATAACATTTTGGAAGAAACGTTTCTTTACATACTACTAACTTTGCCGTCGATCGGTAAGTAGGTGAAGTCTGTCGAGTCATATATCACCATTACGGATTGTTATGTCACGTTAACTGTTCAATTTTTCTTTTTTCTTAACCTGTCGGTAGACTGTCGGCCGACAGGTTTTTTGGGGAGCTCTTCTTCACAATTACCCATCTTTCTCTTGCGAAACAGGGTACGGTACTCCTGAATTTGTGGAATGTGACAAGTTTTTTGAATAGAGACAAATCCTCTAGAACACCACATTCTAACCTCATTTTACAAACTCTTGTTCTTTTCACTGCTAGAACTGATTCTGCATTTCAGTGGGCATATGCAGTCTAAAACTGCTTACTTTTTAAAAGGGGTTGTCCAGCGGTAAAGGAGTCACTATATAGTACACAGTATGCAGCTTATACGAATGACTTCTTGGCTCTGAGCGCAAAACGCTATATTAGACATACGGCTCAATTTGTAAAATGGCGGAGTTGGCGGCGGAGTTCAGTAAAGAGATCGATAGTGATGACTACGGTGCATTCCAGGTCAATTCAGGTGAAGATAATCTAGACGAGAAGGTAAAAGAATGGTTAATTTTAGACAAGGTAAGTGTCTTGTAATGCATATAAAAGGCTCGCCTTTCTTTCAGCATCATACAGCGACATGCCTTTAGTAGCATCATTGCTTTTTAGGCCCCCATTTTTGGAAACTGCTGCCTTCGTTAAGTTTTGTTGAAACAACCTTTCCCCCGCTCGTAGTGGTAATTTCTCTAACCGGTCGAATTTTTGGGAAGATCTGCTTGTGACCCATACTTCATTATGCCTACAGTTGACTGATTATAAATTGGCTTGTGAGACTAATGCTTTTTTCATGAGAGGATGGGGTCATACACGGATCTTCCCTAATTTCTCCTTTGATATTTTTTGACTCGATAAAAATAGTGAAGGGTAAAGGTACTTCTTAGCAAATCCTGTGGGTAAGTCCCCAGGTAGGGACTCAAGAGCACTCTAATCTCCCAGACTTCTTGGGCAAAGTCTTCCAACAAATCCCCTTGAATTTCTGTGGGTCTGTGGGTTGCCTGGGGGTTGCCCTTACCAAATGGTAGTTGATACTCCCCTTAATAATTGGCTTTTGAAGACTTTGCAGTTCCTTGTTCAAGGTCATCTTCCATGACAATTCAGGTTATTTTGGAATTTTTTGGCTTATTTTTGGAAGTGAACTTTTTTAATCAAAGTGGTCTGGTCAGACTTGTTCCTAACCACTGTGTCAAGCCTAGTATTTGCTGTGTTTTTACCATTAGCATGAGATGGCTATTTAAGAAAAGTTGTCATAAGAAGCCATCAAGACCAATTTGAATACCTGCATTTAACACTCCCTGTGGGTGACATATATGATTAGGAAAAGACAAGCCAGGGCTGGTAGGAGTAAGATGCCACAGAAGTGGTATATTTAGATAACTGGGATATAAGATAATCCAAGATTAACTTTTTTTTCAAAGTTACTATTTAACATCTTAAAATTTCAAAATAGTTACCAAGAATAAAAGTTTGGTGGCTCAAAAAAAGAAAGCACTTGGTTTGATTTAATGTAACTTGCCTAGCTGCTGGCTGCTCAGTTCGTCTTTGAACTAAGGTTGGCTGGCATTTGTTTTGGGAGATTCATGCAATATCTCAAGGATTGATATCAAGGCACAACAGTCTACAGTGTTCTTACCTTTTGTACTTGCCAATATAGTCAAAAGGGTTGTTTGTGCATGTTCTATGGAATTACTTTTAAAATGCATATGAAGGGAAAGGACTGTTTTTTAGCCAGATTTCATAGAATTAAGGCTTGCTTTAAGTTGTTGCTATAAAAGATTTTGATATATTATCATCAACCTTGGACCATTTAAGGTGACTGTCAACAAAATCTGGCTAAAAGTTTGAAAATTTCCCTTTTATTCCTTCTAGTTAGAGGAAGCAGCTAAGTTTAATTTGTGGGAAAAAGTTGTATAATCTGAAAAGGAATGCATAGTAAGGCTGAAAGAATGTTTTAGGGGGAACCTGTACCTGAAGAGCAAAAGGTGTTATAACTGGAAAGGCCTCTAGCAGAGTGTTGACATCTCAGGCAGGCTTTCCCGCAGAATCTTGATTTGCAAACTTTGTTTATTTTTCTTTTTGCACTGCACAGCAAAACAGGACTTAGAGAAAGATTTTTTTTCTTGTTATGGGTGTGGGACAAAGAAAAAATTCTGAGTCCTTATGAGGAATTGAACCTCAGACCTGTGGATTCCACACTCTGATGCTCTACCACTGAGCCACAGGGAATCTATGGTGAGCAAGGCCCATTCTGAAGTTCATATATGACATGCGTCCTGAATACTTCTGGGATCAGCAGTGTCGATATCATGATGTTTTGTCAATAGAATAAGAATAAGATAAGTTTTAAGGTCGGTAGAGAAATAGAGGAAGATTTTTTTTTGTCTCATCACAAAAATCACCTCATGAGTCCCAATGAGGAATTGAACCTCAGACCTTTAGATTCTGCGCTCTGATGCTCTACCACTAAGCCACAGAGACTCCATGGTGAGCAAGGTCCATTAGAAATTCCTATTTGTATCGGGCCTTGCTCGCCATAGAGTGTATGTAGCTCAGTGGTAGAGCATCATGGTGTGGAATCTGAAGGTCTGAGATGTACTGCACTGTTACAAGCACTTGACATATGTTACTTTCTCAATTTATGTAGAGAATGTTGTATGTGAGAGTTTGGAGAAACATGAAAATATGTGCTGTGTAATTCTGATAATTACATACTTTTTTAGGCTTTACACTTGGAGGTGTTACAATTTAAGGGAGTGGCACCATACAAACAGAACACAAGCAGCAAGTGTGAAAAAAATAGATCTTTTTAAGAACCACGGCTTCACCAAACAATGGTGTATTTACTGTAGTCCTGCTGTAGGTGCATGTACATGAAATAATTATTGCAGTTACTGAAATTACTTAGAAAATGTTAAAACTAACATACAGGGGTATGTGGTAGTGTAGAATGATGGTCTGGGTGAGTGTAGTCCTGAGAAAGACTGTTGTTGGCAGTGGTGACTGATGTTTTAGCATCCTGATTGGAAGTCATTATCAGAGTCAAGTAAATAGTTGTTGTCAGTCAAATGTATGGCAAACATCATGGCTGAAGTGACTGACAAGTTTACATGAACCACACTTAGTACTTTCAATTGATATCAGCTATTCAATTGAGTCAAGTTATGACTTGCAGTTAGGTTGTCAAAATGTTAGTCACTACTTTAGACAACAATCTTTCTCAGAACTATACTCACCCAGACAATCAGATGACACTATTGCATGTTACCCACATGCTCAAACCATTTGCAGTATGCAGGGGAATGAACAAGAGTCAAATATGGAAACTGACAAGTGATTTTAAATTAAGTATTAGGCTCACTTTTTGCTTATTAATCTCGTGTATCATACGTAAATTGGTAATTTCTAAAATGTAAGATGAAAGACTCTTTAGGGGAAATTGATCCAGGCTCAGCCTTAAGGAAAGCTTCTGATTCTTGGGTCATTGATTTCCAATACCTCCTGGCTCAAATTGGAAAGTATCTTCTTGGTGCTTTTGATTAATTAATTAACAAACCAATTCAACTTAGGTGAGTGTAAAGATTGTCAACATTTGACATGTTCAGGCCAAGTACACTGGAGATACATGCTTGATTATGCTGCTAAATTTTTACATCTTTTACTTTATTTTGTTCCTTATAATTGATCTTTCTACAACTGGAATGCCCAATATTCTCATTCTTGTTGTCACAAATAGTAGATACCATACTGACTTCACCTTTGCACAGTTATCTTTACCTATCTTATAAGAAGGAAATTGAGGAGTGTTTCATCAGTTTCATCTATGACTAGGGTTGTAAACTTAAAGATAAATTGTTTTTTTACCTTGCAGCATCCAGCCAGCATTGCAGAAGTTAGACTACTCATAAAAGAGATGAAGTTTGATGAACTGAGACAAATAATGATGTCACCATTATCTTTTGGCACTGCAGGTAATCATTAATAATATTTTTGGTCATGTTTTCATAATTAAGAACCTACAACAATGTATGATGTACAGCTGTTTGTATGTTACACTCTAGGTTTTCTAATTAAATTTGGCTCCTGTTGGTTCATCATTTTTTCACTTTTCACTTTTTTTCACTTTTACTTGCACACCTAGTTTACAAAGAAGAGATGTTAGAGGGGCTAGTTACTTGGAGCCTCTTTTCAACATAAGGCATACTAATGGGAGAAATTGAACCTCCACTAAGGTGACTATGCATCTGCAGAAAGATCTTATGGTTAAATTGGGATAATTATCTCTGAAAATCAGTGTCTTGACTTCCTCTAGCTGTTTGGGAGCAGATAGGGATGGTTAACTTACAACCGTATGATGTTTGTTCTAACTAATAACAGATTGTCTTTATCAGCTCTTATCATTTACTCAATATTTGTTCTTTTATAAACAAATCAGACTACAACTTGTTTTTTCATATATCTGGTTAAATATCCTAGAAGGGCTGGGCCAGGAGTGAGAATAATAATTTTTTTAAGGTTTAGTATTGATTATCAGGGATAAAATACATTGCAACTCATAAAAGAAATACTTGCTTTGTCCTCTAAGACGTCAATGCTTGTTTTCTGCCACAGCCTGTGCTAGTATGGTGTACATGTATTTCAATGTCTTGTTAACACGAGATTCACCCTTTTAAATCAAAATTACATCTTTGTTTGTAGGTTTGCGATCAAAAATGGGAGCAGGTTTTAATAGAATAAATGATTTGACAATCATACAAGCTACTCAAGTAAGTTAAAGCAGTTTTGCCTTATTGAAATACATATCTCCCCTAGGTCTGGAGAGCAGCAGGCATGTTGAAATTTTAAGAAATGTGGGAAAATTTTTATTTCTTTGGACATGTTTCAACAGTTCTCCTGTCATCTGTATAGATTTAGCCAAAGTGAAAACTATGTTGAATTTGGCATAGTTTGAAGCTACACTGGTTTGCAGATTTAATGAATGTAACCGAAGAAGTTACAATTCATAGACCCAACGTTTCGACACTCCTGTCTAGTGCCTTCATCAGGCACTAGACAGGAGTGTCGAAACGTTGGGTCTATGAATTGTAACTTCTTCGGTTACATTCATTAAATCTGCAAACCAGTGTAGCTTCAAACTATGTCTGATTGTCCACCTGGTTGCCGTGTGAACTTTAATATATTTTATGTTGAATTTATTATGTAACACCAGAAACCAAAGGGTACAAAACAAAAGAAAACATGCCAATGCTTTAGACCCTTGATGTTATGTTGTTCTCATCTGAGTATGATAGTTGAAAAACTTTTGTATTTATATAGCTAACTTTATATGTGCATTTCATATTTACATTTTGTCCTTAAAGGGTCTTTGTAGGTATTTAGAAAAGCAGTTTCCAGATATCAAAGAAAGGGGAGTCATTATTGGATTTGATGCACGGCATAACAGTAAACGGTAAGTGGTTCAATTTTAATGGTCTGATCAGGTAAATGTATGTATGTTTTTTTTTTAATGTTTTTTACTCAAGCAGTCTTTTTTTCAATTATAGCAAGATTGAATTAAACCAATTTTACATGATGATTTGATATTCATCTTATTTTAGCCTTGCCCAAAGAACAAGCTGTGTATTTGCCAGCCAAGGAGTCCCAGTGTATATTTTTTCAAGTATTACGCCCACTCCATTTGTTGTGAGTACATGTACATTTACTTGAAAATAAACGCTTTGGTTGTATTAAGATGTTTGTGATTAATTGTTATCACAGTTGCTATTGGTGGGTGTTAACTCTGTTATGTATGATCAAAGCTTGTACTCATTGGTCTGCACTTTACTACAATATGTATGCATGCAAAATTTAATAGTTTTTTTTCTTTTATTTTGTGCTACAGCCCTATGGAGTTTTGAAATATAGATGTGTTTGTGGAGTTATGATAACGGCTTCACACAACCCCAAAGATGATAATGGTTATAAGGTATGAGAGTTATGCTACTTACCACCTGATGGGAGCAGCTCTCAGCATTGTCTATGATCACTTTAAGACACAAGGGATATTTAACAATAACTACCGTATTTATCCATGTATGAGTTGACCTTTTATGACCGAAAAATCAGCCCTAAAAATCACCCTTGACTTATACACAAGACCTAACCTAAGCAATCCAAGAAATTAGCATAACAACTGCCTGAAGTCTGTTAGTAAAACTGAGTTTACAAAATCAGTTCTAATTGTGTTTGAGTTTTGTCAGTTTTCAGCATGTTCTTCATGGACGAAAAAGTTTGAAATAATAAATTTTACGCGGCTTAAACAGAAACATACTAGAGCTGATTTCTGTTGTATCTTCTGATCTGTAGAGCAGACATTTTTCCTTACAGCTTCACTGCTGTTTACGGTACTGAACTCTCATTTTCATCAAGTGATCGCAATAGCTTAGTTACAAGTTTTGCATAACAACTGTCAGCGATGACCATCTCAATAAGAGAGCAATTGCACGGTGGAACTTCTTCCCGGACAATCTCATCTTTTCTACGGCCTTGAGAATAGTGAATTGAGTGGGTTTTCACTTTGATGGTGTCTTCATTGTTTTCATGGGACCTGTGGAGGTCAGACGTGTTTTTTGCTCCCCATAATATTGGTGTGCTTTCTGACTTCAGGGAGCTTGCTTACTTATAAATGTAAGTGGAGGAGTTCTGCTAACATCCGGCCCAAACATTTCTGGCATCTGTATCTGAAGGAAAGTCATTCTCTGGCTCTTGAGATGACTTTTTTCTCCTCATCATGTCTGTGCTTCAATGAAACTTCTGAAATTAGCATACTGTGGAGATGTGGTCCACTGATTCACCATGTGGAATTTGGAAACACATTGTTGTCTTCGTTAGTGAAGTACCAGCGTATTGTCCATCCAGTTCTGGTGAACAGACTATCTAAAAGACCTTGTTTGTATTATTCTTATGTGTATGCAACATTCCGCCTGTTGATTGGTGACATTCTTTTTCAAGTTGAATCCTGATCCCGTCACTAATCAAGTTAATCATTGTTCTTCTAATCTGTCCTTTTGTTTGTTGAACGCTCATTCTCTGAGAAATAAATCTGCATCCTTATGTGATTATGTTCAAGATTGCAAAGCTGATATTTTTGCTATTACTGAAACATGGCTAACCCAGAATAATGCTGTAGTCTGTAAAGAGATCACTCCCAATGGGTACTGATTGTTTCATTGTCCTCGTACTGATCATAGAGGGGGTGGTACTGCACTTTTATGTAGACAGAGTCTCAACATACGTTGACTGTCCACCAGTGAAAGACTTCTTTTGAGTTTTCTGAATATATGATTGATGGTTTATCTTTACAGCTTAGACTTGTGATTGTGTACACACCACCGTATTCTGCTGCTCACCCTATTACTTCAAGTACTTTTTTTCCTGAATTAAGTGAATACCTGGAATCATTGGTACTATCTAAAGTGCCAATTTGCATATCTGGTGACTTCAATGTTCATCTTGATGTCAGTGATGATGCGGATACCATTGCGTTTGCGGATCTATTGGGATTGTTGTGTCTTAAAAAATATGTTAAATCACTTACGCAAGTAATGGGACATATTTTGGATCTGATAATTAGTTGCAGCTCTGACAATATCATTAAAGGTACACATTCCCCGGATAGCTTCCTTTCCGATCACTGCTCTGTTTTGTGCTGTCTTAATGTTAGAAAAGTACTGGCTACTGTTAAACACATCAGTTTCAGGAAGCTCAAGTCCCTGGATTTAGTTGCTAGTAGTGATTTGTGCAACATTGCTTCAAAGGATTGTAATGAAGTTGTGGAGCTGTATAACAACTGTATGCACTCCATTTTGGATCATCATGCACCGATGACATCAAAAAGAGTGTTGGCTTGTCCAAGCGCTCCTTGTATGAGCAGAAATATCGTAGAAGCTAAGCGTCAACGTTGAAAAGCAGAGAGAAAATGGAGATCTTCCAAATGTCAGTCTGATCTGGCTGTTTTTAAGAGTAAGACTTTTCTTATGAATGAGGCTAGGCAGGTCTATTATAGTACTCTCATAGCAGAAAATAGCCACGATAAAAAAACATCTGTTCAAAGTAAGCAAGAAACTCTTGAACATCACAGGTAGCCCAGTTTTGCCACTGCATGAAGACAAACAGAAATTAGCTAATGAGATGGGTATGTTTTTCATTAAGAAA